GTTTTTGACTAAGAAATTTGAAAACGCAGCTTTAAATCTGTCACGAAAACGGAGCTTTTCGAAAACGCTCTTTAAACGGGAGGAGCTTGAAAACGCCGGCCTTTCATTCTCGTGTGGACGGAAAACATTTTGAACACGAAGCAGCGTCACTATAATCATGTGATTTCTCCGACCGAGTTTTCCTCAAACACACTGGAATCCAAAATGATCGGTGATTGCTGCGTTTTCAAGTTCCTCCGACGTAATGTGGACATAAAACATTAGCTGCGTTTTCAGAATGAAACCTCCGTTTTCAAATTCCTCCGGCGTTGTGTGGTCGTTGGACGTGGCCTTACAATGTACCTCAGTGTTAAACTCCATGATCAAATAAGTTGATATGACACGTGTACCTAATTTGTCTTTTGGCTTACAATGAAAGTATCTATTGTGTAGAAAGAGGGGCGTTTTTCGGTATAAAAAGCATCTGGGTTTTTTTCGCCAATTTTAACTTAAGATATGCACGAAACAGATAAAATGTTGAAAACCTTACTGCAAGTCTGTTTTTACACGTTCCGAAAGATGTTCACCGTTTTTACCAAGCTCTCTAATTGGATAAAAAAAACTCGTGCAACAGGCTTTATAAACCAACCAGAGGAAACATACAGTTTCGTCAACCAATCAGGAGTGCTGAAGAATAATCGTCATTTGGTTAACGCGGTTTTTCCCGCCTCTTGCAACCTCTGACACAGGTTGGGGTTATTTTTGTTCTAAGGGCTTTGCTTTTTTGCAATAGGATTTTGGTCTTACGTTACGCGACTCAAGTCTTGTGCCGCACAACAACGGAGCGTTTTGGAGAAAATACTTTATTAATGTTCTAAGAAATAAACTTAATAGAAAGAGAGGAACGGAGAAAAGAAACAACAAAGCTAAGAAAACGAATATCATTTCAGTGTTGTATGGCCTGAATCAAACCTCCGTGTTGGGACATTTTATTCAAGTTATTTTCGATCGAATTTTTTTTTTCTTTTTTTTTTGCAATTTTACAAAGCAGCAGAAATCCGTGGATGAATTGGCAACATGCGAAAAATGTTAAAATATTAAAATGCAAGAAGAAATAAAGTAAAATTAAATGAAATTAAAAGCGAAGCTTTTCGAAAAAAGCACTACAATCGCGGGCGTATTTATGCAGTTCTGATACTCAACATCCATTTTAAAAGTTTACTATCATTTTATTTAATTATTTACAAGACTATTTACAAGAAAACTATATAAATCGATAAAATAAACAGCAATTGCATGAACTCAAATAAAATAAACAATTTACATCCTTCAATATGTTAATTTACATTCTTTTTAAACAGATTGGATAAAAGACTTCAAGCTAATCCGCCAAAGTCAGACTTCACCATTGATGTACAGCACGAGGTTAGGAATATAAATAGTCATTATATGTTGACAATTACAAGCGATTTCCGATAGAAAATTAAATGTCGTACTGTTCAAGAGATAAAGTTAAACAACATCTTCATACCGTCAAAAGTCAAGTCGAAGTCGAGTGAAGTCAGTTTGTTTATGTAGTACTTGTCAAAGTTACAAAGTCTGTCAACTCAGGGGCTTCCATTTCGCTAACTTTTTACAGTTAAATCATCCAGAAAATTCATGTCACTGTTCTGGTACCGTCAAGTCAAGTCGAGTCAGTCGAGTCTAGTACGTATTTCTTAAAGTCACGAAGTCTTCCAACTGCTTCCAATCCATGATAATCGTACAATTACACGTGGAAA